TGATCGTATTTTTTGTCGTTCTCCAAATCACAGAAGTGCTAATTTTATATTGTAGTAGAAAGTCTTACCTTTAGCTTGCTGTCGTAATATTGTAGAGCTCAAATTTTATTTGCATAGCACAGTTTACAACATTCCATCTCACAGCGCTTCACATGGTGAAGGCCTTCTGAATGCAGATATCTCCAGACATCCTCACCTCGCCTGTACTTGCTATGTCGTCTGTACCACCTTTCTTGTCGATATTAGTCCCTAAATAACTCCACTTACTCAAGCTTGTTGCCGTGAGGTTTAAATGGTTCATCCTTGGTTGTATTAATCCTCATGATGTTTCCTTTGTGGAGTCCTTCTTGTGAAGAGGCCAGACCAGACCAAGTGGCCTCAGGGGCAAGTGAGCCTCCACAAAATTACGTTTCCATATAATAGAGTGCATTCTTAATTACATGTTAAGGAGAAGGTCATTTCGTTTTGAAATAAATGTAGTTTGAGACCTGTGACGTAGTGGCCAAGTCCACGTCATAACGTTGGAGGTGTTGATGGAGGTACAACCCAGAGACTGGACCTTCACCCAGAAGACCAAAGCTCATGTCCTGCAATGGACAAGAGATCATCAGCCAAGTTTAATTTTCCCTCCTTTTACTTTTGATTTTGACTTTCTTTCTGGTTTGGTTTAGTAAAATATCTCGCTTTGTTTGAGACTTTTACAAGACTTATTCAGAAGCTTGGTTACTGTCAGACACCAGGATTACTTGGTTGTATTCAGGACAAAAAATGTAGTCTGGGGTAAAGTACGACCCTTTCCCTGCTTATTTGAAGATTCTCCTCCAGTTTCTGGGTTACATCAGTTACCATGGTGATCCAACAGGTTGGCATGGCATTGTGAATTCAACACAAAAAAGATGCAAATGAACTACAGAGAAATGCATTCATCCATTATCTATACGCCTTAATCCTCAGTGGGGGGGCTGGAGTCTATCTCAGCTGACTCAGGTTCAGGCAGGTTCACCTGGACAGGTAACCAGTCTATCACAGGGCTACACGGAGAGAACCCACGCTGCACGGGGAGAACATGGAGACTCCACACGCTGGAAGATCCCAGGTGTCCTCACCGGGATGCGAACCGGTGAGGACAACGGTGCAACGAGGCAACGGTGCTAACCACCGAGCCCACCGTGCAGCTCCCCTTACAACATGACTGAGACAACAGTAAATGAACCTTATCGAGCAGACAGGGTCTTCTGCTGAGGGTTCATAGATGCTACTTACACCATGTTGTGAGTCTGTTTCATAAAATTGAGCAGGTGTTTGTAGAACATCCTGCTGAGGAAACACCAGGAACGTGTTGGAGGGGATAGAGAAACACCGGAGTTTGCGTTATTTGTCATGCTTCACTAGTGCACAAAACTGTAGAGAGCTTTCATAGGTTTTTATTTTGGTCTTTTGGCTTTTTGTTAGACAGGTAAGTGGAGCGAGGAAGACAGGAAAGTAGGGAGAAGAGTGGGGGAAGGACCTGGGCTGGATTCAAACCCATGGTTGCTGCGTTGAGGACTAGTGCACGCTCAACCAGTTGAGTTACCACGGCGCCCAATTATTGTTATTATTGCTATTTTTTTTATTTTTTAAAGGTATGAGTTTGTGTAGTTTTTCTGCTGCTGACAGTTTAAAGATGATGTACAAACTCCAGGCTTTCCTTTATGTGTTTCAGATCAGATCCAGCTGCTTTAAAGCCTGAATACCACAAACACAGATGTCCACAGTTGGCAAATGTCCTCAACAGTCTGCATCAGTGTTTCACAAGCCTCAAGTTTGCTCGTATAAACGTCCATAAAACAGAAGCCGGAGGAGGAAACTCCCAGAAACCTGCAGAGCTCAGCAGGAGTTTAAATCCTGAACCATCAAAACTGCAGCTGAAAGTCTTCAGTGATATTATTTGGACTTTCTGTCTCAAATTACTTAAAGTACTCAATTACAACACTTAGGTATTTATTTCAGGGGTTGGTAGAGACCAAAGATGGAGCAAAAAGAGATTGCTCATTGGACTTTTATTTGTCAAATGTCTGGAAAAACCTACTTGTGTTTCATTTACTTTGTTCTTCGACTCAGGTGAAGTGATTTTTCAGATTCTAATTTATCTGGATCCTTATTGGCTTCCATCACATTGACTGTTCTGCTGTTTCACCAGTTAATAAAATCACACAAAATTACAAATTTACATATAAACCAGTAAAATTATTATTATTTTTAAATCAGCCAAACAAAAACGAGTGAAAGCAGTACCATAGAAGTTCACGGTTTAACTCAAAAGATGTTTATTGTTATTTGAAAGAAAATTTGTGATTTATATTAGGATTGAAAAATGGCAAATAATGTTTTTAAAACTATTTGACACATTTTGCCAGTCTGATGACATTACAGATAATATTGAGTAAAATCACAGCAAAGACTAATTAATTTATATCTTGATTGTAAAAAAAACAACAACAGCAATAACATTGTTCACACCAGATCATCTTCAAAACACGTCGTTAAGAGCTGCTGTGAGCTGCCCGACCTATAGGGGGCAGTGTATAAAGAAGCCATGCTAGCCAATCAGATTCCTGGAAAAAACACAACAATGAATGGCATGAATTACTTCCTGTTACTTCAGCGATAACGGCGCGAGGGTGGTTTGTTTGGTCCGACAGCGAAGTGGAGCTGCTCCTACATGTGGTGTCAGAGACACAATAAGGAAAATACTGTAAACATGTCAGTCCGTATAAGGACTTATTGGCACTGTCTTTACAACAGTACCCAGCGGAGACGAGGGCTGATTAGTCGCATATCAAAATTGCTATTTGGATACCAGCACAACAAAAGAATATTCGGATAGTCGGTTGTTCGGGTTCAGCCCTAACAGTGACCTCTGAGGGTTTCCTCTAAACATGGTCGCACACATGTGACTCTGATGACGCTTTAGTCGCACACTGTGACGTCAGACTCCATCTCCTCCCGTCTACATGCAAATGTAAAGACAGAGTTTTTCCAAATCTCCACTGTGGCCACAGCTTTCAGATGTGATCGTTTTCAGTGACTCGTAGCTTAATTTACACGTAAACCAAAGGCCCAGACACACTGACAGGTCACCGTTATTACTACGTGTAGACAGGTCCTCAGATACAGTCCACAGTTCATGAGTACAGCTTCACAGGTGTGCATACAGACCGCACTACAGTCCTGCAGGTGAGAAGACAATGTTGTGTCGCGGTTTTCACACCGAGTTACTGCAGCTCCAGTTATTTTTAATTTGTGACCCTTCAAATTGATCTGGTGACCCTTCGGAGGGCCCTGACCCTCAGATTGAGGTCCACTGCACTAAACAGCTCCAACACTAAAATGCTGCTTCAACAAGTTTGCGTCAGGATGACCAACAAAACCCAATAAACTCATATATCAAAGAGTTTGAGTAGATTTTGCTCCTGAACTTTGGCCTCAGTGACACTTTAGTGCTGCTTTATTGAAGGATTCTGCTGAGATTAAATAATAAAAAGTCCTTAAGCTGCAGCCTGAGGCTGACTGACACACACACACACACACACACACACTTGACTGTGACATCATCTGGTAGAAATGCGATGACGCCAGAGTTTTGCTCAGAGTTCAGCTGCAGGTCGACACGGTGATGAAAACACGACTGCAGCTGCTGCGACTGTCATGAACGTGTTGTTGATTATTCAGACTGATTCAGAAACGGTCACATCAGGAGGAGAAACACACTGAAATCTACCAGGAGCCACGAACCAGAGTCCAGCACAGTGTGGACAGGTTTAACGTCCACTGTGGTTCAAGCTGTGGTTCAAGTCCTTGTTCCAGACCCTATTCTAATTTACTTAATATTTTCTGTTTTCTGTTGCAGACATGAACGTTAGCTATACATATCTATTGTTGTGTTTGTGTCTTTCTGTGATAGTTTCAGTGTTTCTTTGTGGTTGTTTTGTGTCTTTGTGTTGCAGGACTGAAAACCCAGGATTTAACCTGAAGCTACCTCGCTAACCCCAGATCCTGCTTCGTAGTACAGGCCCCTGGAGGACTGGTGCAGAGACAACAGCCTCCTCCTGAACATCAACAAGACCAAGGAGCTGATTGTGGTCTACAGCAAGAAGCAGCAGAGAGCACACCACCCACTCAGGATCAGTGGGACAGAGGTGGAGCGAGTGGAGAGCTTCAGTACCTGGGTGTCAACATCAGGCAGGACCTGATGTGGTCCCGTCACATCAACACCCTGGTGCAGAAGCGCCACAGCGTCTCTACCTCCTCCGACGCCTGAGAGACTTTAAGCTCCCTCTGAAGATGCCCAGGAGCTTCCACACCTGCACCATGACAGTGTTCTGGCTGGGAGCATCACCACCTGGATGGGCAGCAGCACCCAGCAGGACTACTGGGCCCTGAGGAGGGTGGTCCGCTCCATCAGAACCGCCCTCCCCAACCTGCAGGACATTTACACCAAACGATGCAGGTCAAAGGCAGGAATTTACTTATTTCTCTCTGTCTCTATAGATCTATCATATTTTTCTTGTGCGTTTATTCTTTATTCTTCTACTTCTTGTTTTGGTCTGGGACAGGTGCTCAGTACATTTCATTGCGTTTGTGTGTAATTGTGTCATTCTGTGCCTCCGTGTTGTGTTTCTCTTTGTTGTTTGTCTTTGTTGTTGTTTCAATTCTTTGTGCTGTTTCGTCTCTTTCTGTTTTGTGTCTCTTAGTTGTAGTTTTGTGTCTCTTTGTGGCCGTTTTGTGTCTTTTGTCGTTGCCTCGTGTGTCTTTGTGACTCTTTGTGCTTGTTGTTTTGTGTCTCTGTGGTTATACTTCACATCTGGTACTTTACAGCCACTCTTGTCAGAGTTTCTGGCCATAAAAAAAACAAACTTTAAATTGGGGGAAAGTTACTGAGTGTCCCTGAAGGCAGCGCCGTGAAGCCCCGCCCCCCTCGTGGCCGCCGGTGCGTTCACGGACTTTTCCCTGACGAGTTTGAAAGTTGTCAAGAGAGGGAAGAAGAAGAAGAAGAAGAAGAAGAAAGAAAAGGCAGCTGCAGCGGAGAAGAAGAGGCTTCAGACGGACCCGGAGCTCGGCGGAGGAGTGATGGGCTGCAGCCACAGTAAGGTGAGCAACACCGGCGGTTCGGAGAGACGAACCGGGACAGCGGACCGAGCGTCCCGTTGCGTCCGCCGCGGTTCGGCCGCAGTTGGAGGTTTGGCGCCGGGCGGAGAAAATCAGCGTCTCTGCACATCTGTTTCTAATCCCGCATCGTGTTTTGAATGTCACGGTGTTCCCACGGTGCCGTCCGTTAGAACCGGGACTTTAGCGCCGCTTCAGAGCCTCAGAAGTCCGACTGGACGCAGATAAAGTCCGTTTTTGTGGCTTTTCGCTGGTTTTAGCGCGTTTTTATGGTTAAAATGCGGCTGTTGAAGTGTGACAACAGGAGCTTTTCTTTGTGTTCTTCAGTGCTGAGGGACTTCCAGGTGTTCGGGTCCACGAACCAGAGCTCAGGAGACCTTCTGAATGCAGATAGAAACCTGTTGGGTCGATACAGGAACTGTGCTGTTTGTGGGACTCACTGGAGTCTGTAGTGAGGTTTCAG